AAGCATGATAACTTATATGCTGTTCTATATCTCCATGAATCTAGGAACTTTTGCTTGCATTGTCTTATTTGGTCTACGTACCGGAACTAGAGTTTTAAGTTCTTGACCTAATTTAAATTTAATTAATTATTATTTTTAATTAAAAAAATACCGGGTACCCGCCGGTAACCATTCTCAATCGGTTCTGTATTTTAGGAACCGGAACCACTCATATATGTTCCGGTTCCGAAACCGGCAGTTCCAAGACAGTTCTGGTTCTGCAAATGAATACCCGGTTCCGCTGCTCATCCTTAATTCAAACCTCACCAAAAATGAGAAAGATTATTAAATTTATTTATTATATTTTATCGTATGTAAATATTATATACTTAAAAAAAACTATTAAATCGGCCACAAGCTAATAGATTTGGTTAATAAATATTAAAAGAGTTAGATCAATACAATTATGTTTTTCATGGAAGTGTTGAATGGCAAAATTTGGATATTTTTTTGTAAATACCAACATTTTTGTGCTAAGCAAAAAAGAACCATTTTTAATGTTATAAACCAAAGTCAACATCTACAAATTGGTCCATACTACTTTAGACAATGAGTGAAGCTATATCTGTTATATTTGTTAATCATTTTAAACATTAAAGTTCATTAAAACTTTGAGTTAATATTTTACAAAGAAAAACATGTGTTTTAGTGTTCAAAACTGATTACGACCGTAAATGCGTAACTGATAATTTCCTTAAAAGCTAGTAGTTTGTGTTATCTTTATACAAACATTTGAACAGTTGTAGGAAAAAACAGATGTGACACTTGGGAGCATCTAGCGTGCCCATAAAGAGACATTCCACTTTCATTGAAAAATCACATATGAATAAAGTGTTCAAGAATAAGTGATATGCCGTCCCGTCATCTATCTTCATTCCATTAAATTTTATCATCATCTCTTTCTTTATTCTTATCAAACCCGTCAACACATGTTAAAAATCACATTTAAATATCGAAACAAATCAAATTTGAATTCTTGTTATGTGAAAGTTCAATAACTCTTAAGATATACTGTGTGCATTTTTTTATCTGTTTACTGTTTAAAAAAGCTATCGAATATGGTTTTTTATAGTTATAATATATAAACTTATTTATTAGTATGAGTTTCTTATGATCAAATTAAATTTGAACTTTTTTGTAGGGTAGGTTTTTTAAGTAATTGTCGTTTTATTTTCAATTTTTACGATCGACGTTAATTTTCAAGTAATTGTTGTTGAGTTCACGCTTAAAACTTTACAAAAAATAGAGGTCGTAAATTAATTAATCATGATTTTACACAAAGATCTTAAACCCTAAATCATGACGACACGTGCTAATCATATTTTTTAAACCACAATTTATCATATTATAAGGTTTTGACAATGTGGTGGTTGAGATTCTTTTAGATCGATCTAGATGGTCCAGAGTCACCGTATTTGAACCTCCATGGGCATAAGAGAATTTTTATTCCTCATTAGATTTGAATTTGGGAGCTCCAGACACTTTTAACACTTGGAGTCTGAGCTCAAACCAATCAGACACTTTCATTTAAATTTCTCATAAAATGAGAAGTTTTTCATGTAGTAAAGAAGAAAATGTTGTTGGCCTTTAGGACTTTGTCCAAATAGACACTAGGGCCGAAAAGTGCGTATAGTATGCAAACTGGGTGACTAGTTGTATGTATGACATTTGATATGATTAAAATAAAAATTAAACATATTGTTTGTATAATATTTGGTAATTAAACATGATTAAGGGGCTGTTTACCAAATGCTTACCCGAGTAAGCGCTTACCAAATCACATTACATTATCAGGTGAATATGGTAAGCACCAATAATCTTACCCGATAAGAGTAAGACAAGGACCAAGAGTCTTACTTGTTAAGTGAGGGCGATGACTCTTACTACGGTAAGTGCTTACTGGGTAAATTGTTGCATACGATGTCGTTTTGGTGGACTAAAATCTTACCCGGTAAGTAAATAATAGTATTAAATTTTACCGATTAACACTTACTGGGTAAGTGTTTGGTAAACGGCCCCTAAGAAAAATATTAAAATAGCTAAGTTGTCCATCAAATAATATCTAATAGTTGTTTTATCATGTAATATATTTAGATCTAAATTATATGAATCAATTAAAATATTTAAATTATTGTATTTATAATATCAGAGGGGCATTCATTTGAAAACTCATAAAATTGTGATAACATTGAAAACCAATGCATCGTATGTTATTTCACATGATTTTTTCCATCTATGACTTAGATTTTGTGTATTGTTAACATATAGTTGTTTCAGATACATTTATTTTACAATATGAACATTTATCATGTGTTTATGAAACAAAAAGTACAACAAAAAAGTTTCACATTGCAATCTGTATACATATCAAACAAACACATTGTGAAACAAATATATGTAAATTAATACAGTAAATTCCAGTCTTGAATGAAAATAAATAAATATAAAACGATACTTTATGATGATAATTCTCACAGTTATCACTATGGTTGGTAACTGGTAAGGTAAGGGTTATTCCGTTACCCAATCCATTTAAAATAGCGGGTAACAAAACAGATAAACTCTTATCAATATTAACTATTAAGATAGCAGGTAAAAGAATGAATAATGGATAAATGGTAAGATAATCATTTTGAACTACAATAATATTGTTAAACATCAACATATAAGTAAACATAAGTTCATAAATACATAATTTCTATATCTAATTTGTTCCAATAAACATTTTAATTTCGTTTTAAATATATTATAATGTGATATTTTAAACAATAATATAAAAATTCTAAAGACAACATTATTTTTTGTTCCAATGTGTATAAACCGTGCAAATCACTCTCATCTGTCGATTTCATTGTTTAATCTTATGAAATTTTTTAATGAAATTGTTTAATCTTGTGAAATTGTTTCATATAATACTTTTTTTGATGAAAGTTGTTTAATATATGGTTATGAAATTTTAATGAAATTGTTTCATGTATTTCTCTAAAATTAAAATAATTAAGATGGTTATACCCTCTACGATAAAAATGATATAATCAACCTCTCATAATTACACAAAAATAAACAAAATGAAAAATTATGATTGGTTAAATGAGATTTATACGGTTTGTACAAATAACATGAGTTTATATAATGCAATGATTTCATTTCCCCATAAATCCAAAATTTTCATTTCAAATTAAACAAAAAAAAATGAAAAATCATTCCCATTTTCATTCTCATCTTACTTTCTGGACCGAATCAAACATCCCCTAATTTCTTATAACATTGATACCTTATTTTTATGGTATATCTATAAAATAAGCAATAAAAAGGTTGAAAACATTAAATACCCCTAAAAGAATGTGGTCAACTCATAAATAAGACATAAATTTAACTCATAAATTGTTCGTTAAATCACATTTAATGGTAATAGTTTTATATCTGTTTTATACGAATCAATTAAATACTGATAATCATAACCAATTTAGGAGTCGTTTACCAAACACTTATCTGGTAAGTGTTTACCGGTAAACTTTAACACTATTATTTACTTACCGGGTAAGATTTTAGTCCACCAAAACGACATTGTATGCAATAATTTACCCGGTAAGCGCTTACCATGGTAAGAGTCATCGTCCTCACTTACTGGGTAAGACTCATGGTCCTTGTCTCGCTCTTACCGAGTAAGATTCTTAGTTCTTATCGTATTCATCCAGTGAGATAATGTCACCTGATAAGTGCTTATCCGGATAAGTGTTTGGTAAACAGGACATCAATATAAAAAGAATTTTTTTGATGATTCAGACTGAGGCTCTGGACCGACCTGTATCACAATTAGCTGATATAACTATCAAAATAATTTAAAACACAAATATCGATTATATATATATGATTACTTCCACAAACATCTTTTAAAAACATCAGAAATACGATAACAGATGCGATAAATCATCTCTTCTCCTACTTTCTACATACATATTATTAATCAAATTACCTTTCATATCCAAAGATTTTCCTGTCCTTTAATCCGCCACCCACCACATCCACCGGCCGCCGCCCCCGCCCATTAACCACCCTACAGTTCCGCCGGATCTCCCCCGGCCGCCCTGATTGCAAGTCACCCAATTTTATCATCCCCTCTACGAAATCCCTAAAAAACTCCGATTCATCTTCACTATACCGACGAACATACGGTCGTGTTTTTACGTACGTAAACAACGACTCATCGGAGTTAAGAAAGCCGTGCCCGTTAACCAAATCCTTGAAATATTGATTATCAAACACTTGAGGGGTGAAGTCCAAACCGCCAGTCACATTTCCGTCACCGCCAAGCGGGCATAGTTGGTCTAACTTTTCTCGAAACTTTGGCTCGATGCTGGGGTCCGGTTGGCCCGGGCCCAATTGGCTGTATAGCCGAAACACGATGGAAAAGCAACGACCCTTGCCGATTGAGTGAGAACCCGAAAGGGCGACTAAATCTTTGACGGAGAGGTTGAATCTGGCGAAGAGATCAATGAGCATGCTTGCATTGGCTCGGGGACTTGGCATTATGTCGTCGGAATCCTTTTGGCTCGCGGTTAAACTGTCTTTCCGTCCTAACTTCACGTCCCAATTCGGACCGCCACTCTGCATACCGTTTCGTGACATTATTTACTACGATTTCATATTATAAAAATTCCTTGTTTCATTGAACTTTAATTTATAAAACCAACTTTTAGAGCATTGTTAGATTCTCAAGGTTTTTCACACCTTTTTTTTTTTTTTTTTTACGTTACATCATCGTCAACTCAACAATTTAAAAACTTTAACATATTACAATTTAAATGTATATCATTTTTTTTATTAACCTGAATATTCATCCCGCTATGCGAGCTGACTAATCATATGGCGACCACCTGCTTTGCAGATAGTCCGGAGTCACTGCATTTGAACCTCCGTGGCCACAAGAGGATTTTTATATTCCTATTTATGAAAATCAATATACTAAAATATATATAAATACGTATTTATCTATATCGACGAAATATAGTTACTTTAATCATGTATTTATTTAATCATTTTGCATAAATGTTTTACTTAAATATATTATTATAATACATGTGGGTTGGGTTCACGTGAGACCAGTCTGTTCTCGTGAGATCTGTGAGACCATTTCTTTACACTTGAAACTTCACAGCAAAACGTTATAAAGGTAAAAAAAATCGAACATTCACAGCAAAAACACTTTACCTTCACAGCGTTTTGCGGTGAAGTTTCAAGTGTAAAAAAATGGTGTCATGGGTCTCCTGAAATTTTCAGGCCTGTCTTATGTGATTCCAATTCCAATATATATTATGTATAAAAAACTTATTATAAAAAGTATACCAAAATTATTTTCAAAATATCTCTAAAATCTATAAAATTGTATAAAAACCTCACTGAAAAACATTATGGATGCTTTTATTGGAAATATCTACGAACATAATTCCTATAAAACAAATTCGCTCTTGAATCAAATGTTGTATTTTGTTTATTCGATTAAAATAATGAAATAAGTGAAAGTGTACCAGAAGAACAGCATCTCTAGCGGCCATGATAACGATATCTGCACAAGAAACAGTGTGAGGGCAGGCCGTCTCAAGAGCTTCCTTGATTTCATCGATAACCTCGTACGACCGGAGCGAATTTATGTTGGACAACGAAAGTTTCTCCCCCAGCATCGTCGGAGTATCATCCAACAACAACGAACCGTCGCATCCCTGCCATAATTTCAACAATTTTCTTCAAATATCTCCGATTAATTAAGATACATAACATATTTTATCATTTTGACAAGAATAGTAATTCAAAACTTGAATACAATTGATTCGAACCTTAAACATAGGATTACAAATCTGTACATCAAAATTTTGGATACCTTAATTGCATCAAAAATACTAAATAAAATTCGATACGTCTTAGAAACGAAATCAATGAATTAAGATGGTGATTACGTTTACGAAACAATCATGAAATTGAAGTCTCATGACAGAAGCTCCACTTCTTGGTTCTCTGATCATCGCCTTTGTCATGACATATCTGACGATGAGCTCTGCATTTGGACATGATTTGGCGTAATATTCCGGCAGGAGGGGTGGCGATGCGGCGGAGAAGGCTGCCGGAAGTAGACAGAAGAGAAGAAGGGGAAGAGACATTTTCCCAAAAAGGTTTTTGTGGGTTTTTCATTTGTAGGGTGGTTTTTAACTTTTATAATAAGGGGTTATGTGACATGTTGTGACTTGTATGGGTGAAACTCGGGGATAAGGTTTGTCCCACTTTCATTTACTCTTTATCAAATAATTTTCTGTGTCTATGTGATTGGTTTGAGCTTGGTTTCAAAGATCAAAAGTATTAAGAGGTCTCAGGTTCAAATCTAAGGAGCAATAAAAATTCCTTTGTGACCATGGAGGTTCAAATGCGATGACTCTAGGCTATCTACAAAGCAGGTGATCGTCCTGAAATTAGTCGGCTCGCATAGCGGGTTGAATATCCAGGTTAATAAAAAAAAACCTGTAATAAATTGATAAACTTCCGGCTTCCGCCACTTGTGTAGGTGTTGGAGGAATTTACAGATTTGGTCTCTGTACTTGTGGATTTGGTTTAGAAACTTTTTCTTTTTACATTATATTCACAAATTACGGACATGACACTTGTGAATCTAGTGATATTTTGATAATTTTAGAAAGGAAATGGCTAAGAGATGAAACCAACATTTGAAAAAGGCTGTTTTAGTTAATTTTTCTAAAAATACCATATTAAATTTGATATAACTTTTTATAAAAATGTTTTTAATCATAACAAAATGTATGATTTAATGCAAGTGATATGTACTTTGTTTAAAAAATGATTGATTTAGTTGTTGCCATGAATAAAATAGAGGATCTAAATAGTGTGAGGTGTCACATGACTACGAAGTTAAACTTTAAGTTTTAAGAGTCATGATAAAGTTATTACGTTTTTCAAGTTGTAACTTGTCACGAGTTGACGACAAATCCTTATGTCATATATAATATTATATATGTATATATAAACATATGTTTTATACTACTACTCAATAAGTCAATGATAATAAACAATTTAAATGTGTTGTATATTAAAAACTAACAAATAAGATATTAAAAATGTAAGAAAAAAATAATCAAATATCACGTTAAAAAACTGCGTATTAGGCCATGACGTACCATAGACTTAACGTAGTATGAAACTAAAACATTAATTCACGACGCATCATGGTACTTATTGCAATGAGCCTTTTAGAATGAGTAAAATAAGGACATTGGAGTGAATTATGGATTAGGTCCCTATGGTTTAACGAAAATTATGGCTAGCATCGTAAACTCGAAAGATTATGGATTTGGTCTCTGTCGTTGTTATTTTGTTATGACTACGGTCCCTCTTACTAATTTTATTATATTTAATTATATTATATCATATTTATTTAAATATTTATATTATATTCATATTATATATATTTAATTATTTATATTATATAATAT